GAAAAATTGGTGTGACCTTTGTGTGACCTTCAAATAATTCTTCAAGGTCAAACCAATGGTACCATCTTATGTCCCCCTCGAAACCATACAACTTTTGTCTGAAACATTTTTGTCTGCTGGGCTTAGTTTTCGAGATATTTTACTGTCCAAGTTAAATGGGACACCCTGTATATTAAATATTGTTCAAGTGGTGAATATTCATGATAGACGCGCGATGTGAATAAGAAGGCACACGAACAATAAACTCGATTTAGAAACTCAAGTAATATATTCAGATAAATTTTAAATAAATTAAATTATTATTAATTAGCGATATAATAATGAATTTATGCGAATTTTTCTAGTGTTGATACGATACTTAATTGATTTACTTAATTGACCATTTTTTAAAATTTAATTACGCGATCTTAAACAAATATGTGTGTAATCTACATGTTATAGTATTTAAAAATTATAATTTAGAAGTAATTACCTATTTCTCAATATATATAAATTAGTACTTTTTATTTACAATATTTTTAGTGTTCGTCGGAGAAATTCGTCACTCGCACGAAAACATTTTCGAAACTTCGAAGCTTCGAATTTAATTTCGAACTTCGAAGTTTCGAAGATTCGAAGCTTCGAAGATTTCGAAGTTAACTTCGAACTTCGAAGCTTCGAAGCTTCGAAGATTTCGAAACTTCGAAGTCAACTTCGAAGCTTCGAATTACTTCGAAATCTTCGAAGCTTCGAAGCTATGAAAAGTAACAGCTCTAATGTGTAGTCCTCGAAGAGGAATAGATTTTGTGAAAGTGTGAGCGCGCGCTTTTCATGCATTCGTAAAAAAAATAAAATAAAAGTTTTCCTGCAGGACTTAGCACTTTGCAGTAGGCGATAATTCGAGCAACTGCATAGCTCATTGTAAGAGAAGTGAACATTTTTCTTTCGTCCATTTATAAATGACGCAAGGAAAATGTTTACTTACTCTCTGACTTACCGAGACATGCGGTAATATTTATCGCAATAAACTGTCTAATGATGTTTTCGTGACTGTTCTTTCAAACTTTAACCGCGCGCCGACTTGGCTTGTCGATTTTAAAACACAGAACAATCGATTCGCGAATTAAATTAAATTTACGACTTAATTGTTCTGTGTTTTAAGACCGAGAAGCCAATTGTCGGCATGCAGTGCAAGGTTCGAAAGAACAGTCACGAAAACATCGTTAAACTATTTATTGTGATAAATATTACCATATATATGTCGGAAAACCAGTAAACACTTTACTTGCGTCATTTATATAAATGGACAAAACTTATTTTTATGAAATCACGTACTCTGACGATAATGAGAACCGTCGTCTGGCAACTGGGCGTTAAAACAACAATACGTGCGCGTACGTTAAAGTTGAAAAACTTCACGACAGTAAAGTTATGTCATTTATAAATGGTTGATTTTTGTGTGGTAATTGTTAACATATAATAGTAAGTCATGAAAACATAATCAACCTGTATAAATGACTTTTTGTTTCAAGTTTTTAATTAGAAGCCCCTTAACACAATATACAGTTGGCAGGCGATGCTAGAATTCGATCCAAAATCTCGGTCTGAGCAATATGTAGCTAATAAAATTGCTGCTTTCTCGTAAAAGTTGCAAATTAATTGGCTATAAATATCTCGGACCAAGCAGAACTTGAAATTAAAAATGTGGAAAATTGACGTTTTTAATTCCGCCTCCTATCTTATCGACACACATAGAAAAATCACCGCGTATCCTCCCCTTGTTAGACTAGGTGGTTGAATTGGTATAAGACGCTTGCCACGGTAGAAGGTTCAAATTTCATTTTAAAAAATTAAGTTGATCTTGAAATGGCCTTGAAAGACGTAGTCAAGGTCACAGTCAAGGTCATCATCTTACTCCCCGCTTGAAACCATACAACTTTGCTATTGGACATTTTCTCCAAAATGCATTCTAACTGAAAATATTAGGGAGGTCCGGTACTTTCGGATGACCCTGTATTTTTCAGTGGTTAGGGTGTAGTCATGAAAGGGTTAATACGTGTATTATGCCTAGTCACTTTTTAAAACAATTTTATGCCACTTTTGTACAAAGTATTGTACAAAGGACAACAAACTCAGTGCGGCTACCGATAACGTGACAGGCGATGTGGCAAAAGTCGGTTTCTACCACGGGCGCTGCCGAGCTAAGAACTTGGAGATAATAAACGTTGGCCGTACTTTCGCTTTTCTAATTGAAGCCGAAGTCCTTTCCCAGGTGAAACTGAAATGTAATACGCGAGGAAACCCCTCCCTCTGTCCAACGAAATGGAAAGACCGTGTTGAATGGAAAGAATGAGTTCCGTGCTTATACAAGTGACGGATGCATGCGCTGTCACTCACTTGTCGATTTTAAATCTCTCGAGTACCCGCTTCGACCTATCATGCGAAGAATGCGAGCCGAGGAGCCAGGCGGTCCCGACGTCATCTAAGTCGAGAAACTGGTTCCTCTCGTAGCCGGTGCACCTGCGTGCATCGTCGGCGCTGGTGTATACGGAACTCGTGCTAGACGAAGCCGAGGAAGCTCTCATGGCTTTTCTCTGCGAAAGGCTCCATGTGTTAGTACGACGGATGGAATTGCATCCCTACTCTGGACTCGATTGATCGACTCACTTACTTGGAAGACATGTTGTACGTTTCTCACCATCTACAACCGTACTTCTTCGCGTACTTCTCGACCGGTACGCGTCGAGAAGTTCCACGCCATATCGGCATTGTTGGCTACATCCCGTGCAATGTGCAGCACTGTTGCAGTTGTAAGGTTGATGTCGAGTTCATTTCTTGACACGAATTAAAGAACGCATGCGTGACGACAATTTTCCACGAGGACGCAATTATCGGGTATTACTGGTATAAATTGTAACGATAACGAGACAGTGGTGGCACACTACACAACCATTATATAACAGCAACACTTAAGTGTAAATATGCCTGTTACGTGTCTTCTAATGCGTTTCAAGCGGAGCAGAACTGTGAAACAGTAGTACCTAGTTTAACTGGAGCAGCAGATGTATCCAGCTGTGCAAGCAAGATCGATGCGAGTCTGCGCAATCACACGACGCATCTGCACGAGACAGGTCTGTAGCCACGGAGCAGGCAAATAAAAATCTTTCGTGTAAATCTCAAGTTTTAAATGACAAGATTGACTTTCGCGTCGCAGACACAAATCTTTGTAAAGCTTTGAAAAATTTTGAAAATATTCGCATGCAACATGTCGTACCTCCGTTCCTCCTGCGGCTCAAATGTACACGTTACAGTCCTTATCTCTGTCATCTTTCTGAATGAAATGAAACTTAGATGCGAATATTCACACTTAATGCTCGGCCGCTTTTTCCGCTCAGTCGCATGCGAATGTGTTTTCCAGCAAATTCCCCACTGGCGCTTAAAAATCGGATCAACGAGTTGTTTCGCACTACCGAACAAACGCACTAAAATTTTCTGATGAGTCTGTCAAGGACGAAAAAATTTGCGGGCGATGCTAGGCGATGAATGATTTATTAATGAAGAGCGAGTGTTGAAATGAGACGCACACGTACTCTACCAGTCCACGCACGTCGTGATATGGTAACAGAATAACGTGTAACAAGATGCGTAGAAACACGTTTTGGAAACAGGATGGGCGAAGGTGAAGTCACGTTGGTCTTTATCTAAATTCCAAACATTTGAGCTGTCGAACATCAGGACAAATTCCAAAGCTGGCACGATGCGTACATTAGAAAGAGATGAAGTCGTGTTGTGCAAAATTTGGTGAAATTACGAATTCGACAATTTGTAGTTATTCTTTTTATTTGCATTAACTTTGTATACACTCAAACATCGTTTATGTCGCAACTCTTTGTAATGTTAACATTGATACAATATTCACACCCGACAAAGTTCCTCAAATTTTGTTATTGACAACGACGAAACGGCAATTATTCGAGCCACGTGATCTTAACTGATGATGTTGGATCAGCGAGCAGCTCGCCTGCTCGTAGATAAGCGATTTTAGCAAATTCGAGATTGCATGGACGTCGCTACTTAGTACGCGTAGAAACGATCAAGTCTCGTACGTACGATAATAAGATGTTGCTATAACAGTATACATATTTAGCAACAATATAATTTAAGTAGACACCGATACAGAAGGTGATCCGTATTCGGAAGAATTAATAAAGGACACTGCGTTAAGCTTAATGCAGTAGTCTTTATTAATTCTTCATTACAGCCATCAGATTATTCGGGGTGTCTGATGCAAAACTATCTAAACCAAAAATGGTGGTAGATTGGGTCAAGTTAAGAAGAAAAGCCATGTACTATTTTACAAAATTTGTAATAGTTATTGAATAATTTATTGAACCGTAGAGAACGGTGAGCCGGGCTTCGAAGGCATGCGGTGAACGAGAGGTGGAGCAACGCGCGACATAACACTGTCAGAAAAAACAGCGAGCGATGTGTTTATGTCCCGCTCACGCTCGCTGCTCGTGTTTTCTGCTTACGAGCCCAGCCTATCACTTTCCACGCGCTCATTCGTTTACACGTTTCAATACATTATTCGATAACTATTGCGAATTTTGTAAAATGGTACATAACTTTTCATTTTAGTTTGACCCAATCTACCAATATTTTTCGTTTGGGTACTCTTGCGTCAGACACCTGTATAATATAAATTATGCATATATACATGTATATATATAACAAGAATAAAGGCTTATTGTCGCCAGTACATAATTAACCAATATAGAAAAATTGTTAAACGACGCAACTGACAATTCTAATTAGAGAAAATATATTGCGAAAAATATTACCTCAGCCAGGGATTGAACCTGGATCTTCCTACACTATAGGCGGGTGTCTCATCAATTCAACCATTAAGGCATGTGCATGGGAGTATCCAGACTTTTGTCTAGGGGGGGGGGGCAGAAAAGGATTCACCCGTAGGCGAATTATGCAGCATAAATTAAACTACGTACTTATAAAAAATATTTTTATTTATATAACAATTAATTTTCTGGGTTCCTCGGCAAATCTATTAATCATATTATTCGTAAAGGAATCACCCATGCTTTCAACCAATTTCCGGTGCACGCTGAGCATGCACAAGCCATTTAAACGGTCTTCAGTCATTGTCGAACGCAATCAAGTCTCGACGCGCCTAAGAGTGCTGAAAGACCTTTCTACAGTAGCAATAGTATACGGCATCGTCAAGAGAATCTGAAGGGCTTTATTTATCTTTGGATAAAATAAATCTGCTTCCTTAATTATTTCTATTAAGTCTAAATCCAGGGGTTTTCCTTTTTTGGCTACATAATCCCAGATAGCATAAAGATGAACATAAGTTCATAGAGAATTCATTTTAAAGAAAACATACAGAATTAGAAAAATGAATATCTGAAGAATTCTTGAAGAATTAGTCTCAATCAGTTCGTCTTGAAGTATTCTTCTGAAGTTCATTATAATGAATACTTCGCGATTCAGTACTGTGAATACTTTAAGAATTTATGAGGAATTATTTGTCATTCGCTAACCGCCATCCGGACGTTCTTGTGCAGCGTGTTACCACGTGCAATATTTTGTGTGCGTAACGTTATGTGCAATTAATTTTGTGCAATAGTTCTATTGTGTAAAAGAAAGAATCGAACGACGAGAACCGAAACGGAAGAATCATCCGATTGTCAACGAGCTTCGGTTGAGAGTATCTCACTGTTGAGTGAGAAATTATAATAATGGTGTAATGTTACTGCATATTAGATGTGTACATACATTGGGTAAATATTTTGTAATCCTCTTTGTTCTAACACTATTCCCCTTGAATTCATAAAGTTTACATTTATTGAATTCGAAATGAATACTTTAAGAAGTTGTCAGGAAAACGATTTATGGTGCATGTAACTTCCTCTGTCACTCTTATTGTATTCTTTTATGAATTCCTAAAGAATTACAATTCAGAAAAAAGAAAACTTAAAGAATACTTTGTGAATTCAGTGTGCTATCTGGGATACGCCATAACTCTACTTCTGTTTGAATTCCTTCTAAGTCATAAAATTCAGAGACTTCTTGCAAGCGTATTTTTAAAACATCAGCTTCGATTTTTAGCAATTGTGAAGGATGTAACGACATTAAAGCAAAAGCAGGTGATTGGTCTTCGCTAAACCTTGCCTCCAATGATGTTATCAAAGAATCTAAATATGGCACATATAGAGAGCGTCGAAAACACTCCCTAAGAGATAAAGCTGGATGATTAGCTCTATGTTGCTGTTGAGCTGCTGTTCGTGGAAGGCGTAGCTCAATATTCATAGCTTCAGCTATTTGTGTTGCAGTCTTCATAAGCTCTTCACATCCTACTTCGACAGACCGCCTGTGTTCTCTTACTGCAGCTATTATTCTTTTGACATACTCAGCACATTTGATCACATCCAGATTTTTAGACTGCAGTATGTTTGCAACTGGTTCAAGTAGGGAGTTATACTTGTCTATAATGCACAGAGCCAATATGAATATCGTTTGTCCAGCAGCAGACAGCAACTGGAAAAAGCAACTTTTCTTGTCCCAGAATTTCCTTCTTGAGAGAGCTTTTCAAGACCGTTTAACTACAATTAAAATATTAATGATGAGTATTTTACAAAAACGACCTACACTGGCCAATGCCATTATTTAAAATAAAAACGACGTTTTTATTTTAAATAAAGGCATTGGCCAGTGTAGGTCGTTTTTGTAAAATACTCATCATTGTTTTGAATTGCTGGCGATACCATATCTACCCCAAAGTAATTAAAATATTATTCACGATGACGTAACGTAAAAAAATACAATTAATATTTTATTTTATTCTTACTATTTCGCAATTCTTTTACTGTAAAAATATCGATATTTGATCAATACATAATGAAGTTATAATTATTACATTGTAGGCATAAACCTTAGCGATATATTGGGGATCCCATAGAGTCTGGGGGGGGGGCAGCTGCCCCCCCTGCCCCCCCTGGATACGCCCATGGGCATGTGGTAATATTTGTCGCAATAAGCAGTCAATGATGATATCGTCGCATCTATTTGACCGAATAATAGTGTCTAAGTTGGGGAGGGTTGAGGGTTGAGGAGGAGATACATAAAAATCGCGTATTGATAGTACTGTGTATTGTCGACAATCCGAATCGGTGCGCAGTTTAAAGTCGAAAAATAGACGCAACGATATCATCATTAGACTGTTTATTGCGACAAATATTACCTCAATAGTCGAATTGGTGAGACTCCCGCCTGGAGTGTAGGGAGGACCAGGTTCAAAACCTGGCTGAGCTAATATTCTTCGCAATAAATTTTCCCTAATTAGAATTACCAGTTACGTCGTTTAACAGTTTTTCTACACACGCACACACGCGCGCACTCGCACGCACACACACGCACACACGCGCGCGCGCACACACGCACGCACACGTGCTTATATACATACATATGTGTATATATACACAGGGTGGGTCATTTTAATCCGTACACGGTAATATTTCCTCAGGTAGGGGTGATAGAGCGGAAAATTCATCAGACAAAAGTTGTTAGATTTCAAGGGGGACATAAGATGGTGTCATTAATTTAACCTTGCATAGTTGCTTGAATGTCACGTAAAGGTTACCTTCAATTTTTTTAACGAAACCCCCTATTGTTTATTATACTATCTTATTCTACTAATTAATATAAACAACTTTGTCTGAATTTTCTGCTTTGCCTAATACTTTTTGAGATATTCAAGAGAATATTTATAACTTTTTCAATGTTTAGCTTATGATATCTCGATAACTGTTTATCGGAGGGAAAAGTACCCAGCAAACCAACATATAACTGTTATATAACTGAAAGAGCGTATGGAAAGAACAACGTTATATATCATTGTTATGTATATGATATGTAATCATTACATAATTTTGAGAGCATTATGGAAGAACAAAGTTACATTTCTTTGTTATGTATGTATCTCATAACAGTTATTTAAAAATGTT